CAAGGTTTTTTTTTTTTTTTGTGGAGTTTCTGCCTGGATTCAGTTCCTTGATGTTGTCTTTCCCATAATTAAAATGTAGAGCTGGTTGTAGGGGGGTGCAGCATTTCTTCTCTCTGTTTGAAAAGTAGCAAAGAAAATGATTGTAGTTTCGTCGTCTTGTAGTTTCGTCTAATTCTTAAACCACAAGAGGGTGCTGATTCATCAGAATAACTGGTGAAATCACGTGATAATCTGTATGACCTTTCTCAACAAAAATAGCTATTCCCCAATTATTTTCCCACAGAGTGTAACCATCCACCTTTTCTGGTTCTGGTATTTTCCCATTTACTTTAAGTTTTAAGAAATGAATCACAACATTGCAAACTTTAATTTGAAGCAAAAAAAAAAAAAGTACAAAGTTCATAAAAAGGAGGCCGTCTCACTATATAGCTACCTTTTGACAAACTACAAACTTCTGTCTCATACTTAGTTCACAGATACACATGATCACTATCCTGACCTCCATCTGCAGATGTATCCAGGTGAGGGACTGCGCGTGTAAACCCCAGGTTTGTTCTTTTCTGCACAGCCTTGCCCCCAGCTTGTGGCTCCCACCAATTTCCAGGTAAAGGAATCCTCACAAGCCAGTGGACCACCACTGTCTCCCTATTACCAACATGGACGAAAATATTGTTTTGTAGGTCCTTCAGATATTGCACTTCCTTTAAACTGTAGTGTTTCATGTTGACTTGCACAATAATAGTACAAAGTTAATCAGAATTTGGTCTTATTCTAATAATTAAGCGTTGTCCAGAATATAAACCTTAAATGGAATTTGATGTGCATGAAAATGTTAATTATATTCAGCATAGAATCGGTATAATATCACTATAATATCAAGTATAAAAAAAATCCATGGTGAGAGATATACCTGGCAGGAGTCTGTTCCCCCGTCCAAGTAGCCTGCGCAGATCATGCCTGGTGATATATAACCTTGGTAACCCTCCGGCTGACTGCAGGCCTTTGTAGAGATCAGTGGGACTCTTGCTGAAAGCAGCGATACACTCCCTTCACCGAATAGAACACAATAGGACATTGTATCTCCTTGTGGATCAGTTTACAAACTCAGAAGAATCAGTGTGTTGTTCTTTTCTTTTTTTGGTGGCTAGCACAGCATATTTTACTACGTAGAGGCAGCACAAGAAATACAACAAAGTCTGTCATCGGTGGAGTGTAGTTTATTTGTTCTGCATCAAACAGAATTGCAGTCTGTTCATCTGAAAGGCTTGACTGGCTAAACATAACATGACTGGTTCAAATAATGGTGTGAGTTTTGGCCTGGACTTCCTGTTTGCCCCAGGGGTGTCAATGTTTGTATATACAAAAGTATCTGTGTATTCTCACAAAATAATTTTTCTGCGTACAGTATAAGTGCAGAAAGACTTAACTCATGTACTTCCTAGGCTGCATGGATCTCCTGGGCACTTGGCATGAACAGGAATGCTAAAAGATAACCCTCTCCAGGTATTATAGTTCAAGCCGTGTTGGAAAGATTGCATTTACAATTTAAATGCACATGAACGCCACCTCAAAGTCGTAATTATGAGCGGGAAATTCAAGATTTTCTTTGAGGCCCTAAGTTTCTGAGTTGTGGATGTGTCAGTGAGAAAACATGCTGCATCTATATTGATGATACATTTTTGAAATGTCTGAAAGTATTATATTTCATTTACCATCAAACTAGCTAAGCTGCATGTACAGAATATAATAGTATTGTCAGGGCTGTCACAAACATGGACCGAGGCCCAGTGCAAGTTAGAGGATGCAGGTCCTCCTCAGTGCATTTGTGATTTTTTTTCACAGGTGGCGTCCGCTTGGTGAATTCACAATCCTCTGTCTGTTCACAAACGTTTTCCAGGTTTGGTCACAAGGCCCCTTAAAGCATTAGGGCCTTTGCATAGCACATGTATTGTACAATTACAAATATTGTACAATTATACACCTTCATAAATTGAATAAAAACAAAAGCAAAACACCCGATGTGCATTCTTTATCATTTCATGTAGTAAACTTAAAAAAAAGGTATATTGCCATCTTGCTCCGGCCAAATGCACCTGACATCATAATTATGATTTCCCAACTCCAAAATACAAACTTCCCAGGAAGACTTGAATGCACCATTTGCCCTCATTGGTTTGAGTGACCTGACTGGTTCAGTTAATTAATATAACATTGACTTAACCAATAGTCAACACAAGTCTAACCCTGCTGGAGGCTTTTTGACCAACTGAGCATGTTGAATTGTTGAATCATTGGGCACTTGGTTAGAAAAATCACTCTGATTGGCCGTTCAGCTCATGTTGGGTATACACTAGACAATTTTAGGCCCAATTTTCACTCACTGACAGTTTTCTTGAGATTGCAGACAAAAGCCTGAAATCTGAGGCAAATTGGTACTTGTTCATGTGAGTGAATATTTATCAGTCTGCATCTGGGCCTTTTGTGAAGACCAACCAAAGTGAAGATCAACTGATCAGCATGATTCATATTCAAAATGGTAAGCAAGCGCTGCTTTGTATATTTGAAGTCCAGTTTTTGCTTTCCCTTTTTGAAGGGATGAGGACTGCCACCTACTGATACAGACAGTTATCTCCTCTCACACAGTCGCAGAACATTCGTGCTAACTGGCCATTGGCTGTAGTCTTCGGTGTGTTCAAGCACAACTTTTTGGCTAAAAACACAAGCAACATGAGGCGACAACATAGCTTTCGTTGCCACTAGTTCTTCTATGTCTGTTTGGTGTGTTATGGCCCTTAAGCTCCCAGACTCACCCCCATCATCAGTGGCGCCCCATCCTGAGATCCAGCACATTTTACCATCCTCAAACTCCTCCCCAAAGGTCGGCAAACAAATAGGCTCCACAAAACCGGAAAAAAAAAAATGGTGATAAGCCATTTGTCACAATGAATGCTAAACAAGGGCATGGAGGATGCAGGTTATTAAGATAAGTTTAAAAGTCCAATTGCATAACTGCCAGTCATTACACTAGCAATGGTTCTTCAGAATAACCTCTTATCATTTTAAAAGAACTCCTTTTGCAGAAGGTACCATTGAAGCTGAGGGGATGCACCAGTTTCATCAGAGCAATATCATGGTCCAAGCCCTTGGGTCTGTAGCGACTGTGATAAATGATCTTCTCCACAGCAAGAGATTGCACTGCTCAGTATAGGGTATGCAAACCTGCATGGAAAACAGCAGACTATGATCATTTCCATGTGGGTGTCTGAATATTGTTCCATGAGGACATTATAGACTCACCCGTATACACAATGTGCAGCAGTCAGTATCCAGCGAGATGATATAATGGAGCCTCCACACAGGTGCTCGTTCTGAAAGTGCAGGCTCACCTGCCAGGGGAACTGACCCTCAACTGACAGGTTACAGCCAACTATATGAGCATTGAACCACAAGCTATGCAGAAATAGATCAAATGATTGCTTATTAAACACTGATATGACGTTTTGAAGTTTTATTACATTTGCAATTTATAGTTTAGAAAGTGCAAACTTTTTATGCAATTTATAGTTTAGAAAGAGAAACTTTTAAAACTAATGCATTTCTAAAACACTTAAAGGTATGGAAGCTTATTTCCACCACAGAATACTTTTTTTTTTTTTTTGTTGCTATTCAGTTATTATTTCTCACTATTCTGAGTACTGAGAAAGAAGTCATAATTGTGAGATATAAACTCACAATAGCAAGATGTAGTTCTGAGAAGAAGACAAGTCTGAATTGTGAGATAAGAACTTTCGCAAGCAATTGCAAGGAAGAAATTCAGAATTGTAAAATAAAAAGTCATAATTACTGTTCTTATATTTTTTTACTTTGAACTCTACACTGACACCTATTGGCCTGGATGTATGAGGTTGCCACTTCATGTAAGCAATACAATTTTGTTCTTTGGACATTATATATATATTTTTTCATTCTTAGTTTAGAAAGGTGAATCACACACATGCTGAGGCCTTCATGTGCAAACAGGAAGTCCAGGCCAGAACTCACACCATTATTTGAACCAAATAGCATTAGTGCTATTATTATGAGTAAACACACCTGGTGATGTGATGTCAACATGGTGTCGCCAACATGGGGGCTACCTGCTTTTTCTAGAAGACTGAAAAAGTCTGAAGTCTTTATGTCATGTAGGTGAACCTCATTGTAATGATATTTCTCAAATGTGCTGTTTATTAGGTGTGAAATATTTTAAATTCCCAAAGAAAAAAATACTGAGTGTACCTTTAACATCACTAACAATAAGTATTAAAAAAAGCAACCATTAAGCTTTATCATTTTAAATGTATAAATCTGAAACTTTAGGATTGTGAACAATCTGGAATGTTGATATTTAAGCTATAATTGAGAAATGTTCCAAGGTGCTGCCACATTTACTGCTGCTCAGCAAACTTCATCACACTGACCAACTAAAAGCTGTTTGGTTCGAAAATGACTTTTGTGTGAGCTGTGCTTCATGCATTGCTCTAGTGACAGTTTTGCAGAATGTGACTGCACCTTGAAAAGTACTTTTGATGTTGCTTACCTATGCACTTAAGTGTTGCTATCATCCCCAGACTGCATTGGGTTTTACTAGGGAGAGAGAAGACAACAAAACCATTTAAATGGTTAAGAAATGGTATGCCATTAATGGGGTTAATTCATCCAAAACCATTTCTGCCTTGAGAAAAAAAGAAGGCCTATTTTTGAATAAAAATCTGCAGTGCAGGGCAAGACTATGACGTAAGGAAATATCATATGACTAAAATGACCTTCTTTTGTGTACCATGGAAAAAAGAAAATGAAAAGGGTTTGTATTACTTGAGGTGAGAAAATTATGACAGAAATGGAACTGTTCATGCATGCTGAGTAAATCTACAAAATATTAATTACATTTGACTTTAAGATATTAATCTCCTATGCTTGACAATGAAAATGAAAAGCAAATCAGCTGTAAACGAGTTGCATTCTTAGAGGGTGAAAGGAAAGCATTAAGCACTTGAAGCTGTTGGCTACAGAACAAAGTAAATGCAAAAATCTTCTAAAGTATGCACAAGTGTTCTGGGAAACTGCTGTGAGCAGATGGGACTCCAGGTCTAAAATAGTACAAAAGCAGTATGCGTCACAGAGATAAGGTAAGAGGCTGTGCTCTGTGTAAAAAATGCCCTGAATGGCTTGTATACATGATCAAATTTCCTGGTCAACATACCAAATTCAATCACATGTTTACAACAGAGTCTACAACTCTAAGCAGATTAAACAGATACATTTAAATGTTTGACTTTTGCATGATTGAAACAATGAGGGCATCAGGTTCAGTTTTCAAGAGGTTTTAGTTCCATGTAAATGAAATCAGATCAGAGCTGCTTTGTAGTTGTCACAATACTCAGCACACATCTTGCTTTCAGTCACATAAAATAATCAACTGAAGTTCAGTGTAAGAGCGGCTAGAAATGATTAAATGGGCTGATTACAAGTCAGTTTGATGTCACTGCTGTCAGTTACATTTAAAATGTTGGAAATTCTTTATGTCGGTAAAGGCCCAAGAAAGATAACTATAAAGATAACTATAACACCAAAGCATGATGATGTTCTTGTTTAGGCTATTATAAGAGTGCAGGGGTGCATTTCCCAAAAAGCAACTATGATCACGAGTTCTGTTGTTTCTAATAGAGTTCAATGGAACTTACGACCATAGTTAGCTTACGATGCTTTTGGGAAATGCACCTCTGATTGGCTGTCTGTGGTTTTAAAGTTCATCAGCTGGGGAAAAAAACAAAAAAAAGCTCTGAAAATGATTCCAACAATATTGTTACTCTGTGTCATTATTGTTCTAATTGTGGTGTGGACTTTAATATTCTTATAGAATGTGCATGATTATTAATTTTATAGTTATTTGCTATGGTTATTGTCATTACCATTGTTC